TTTTTAGTTTAGTTTGAGAGAAAGAAAGTAAGAGAGAATTCCAAGCAAGCTTCACACTCAGTATGGAGACTGACAAGGGGCTCAGTCTCACAACTGTGATATCATGACCTGAGCCAAAACCAAGAGTCAGACAATCAACTGAGCCACCCAAGTGCTCTCAGAAGGACAGTATTTATCAGTTTGCATGTACTTATTTACATGATTATTTGGTGAATGTACATTTCACTCAACTGACTCCATATTAGAGACAATGCTGGTTTTCCTTTCCCTTGTATTCCTAAAACCTAGCATAGAGGTTGGCATGTGCTAGTTGCTAAATAAATATTTGTTGAATAAAAGATCTCCTGTTCAGGCATGTATCTTTGTTAAAGGTCTTCCTCTTTATGACCATGTCAAATCTTCCTTCCAGAGTAAAACAACTAAATCTTCCCTTGATCAGCAGCAATATAACCTCAAAGTCACTGATGCTTAATACTTTAACTTAAGAGAAATAAAATATTAATCCATCCATTCATTGAGTCAGTACATATTTGAACTCCTCCTACCATGTGTCAAGCACCATTCTAGATGTCAGTCCCTGCCATCATAGCGCTTGCATTCTATGGGGAGGAGAATGGGAGGCAGAGGACACAATAAACAATAACTAGTAAGTACACAGGAAAAACTGAAGAGGGAAAGGGCAGGGAACGTTGGAATGCAGGACATGAATGGAGTTTGTGATTTTAGAGAGTAAACAGAAAAGTCCTCTCTGCCAAGGTGACATTTGAGCAGGCCAGAGAGTACTAAAGATAGGAATAATAAGTGTGAAAGCCCTGACGAGCAGGATGGGCAATATTTTTATTCTCTACTAGTGTTTATTAACTGAGGGTGATATCACCCTCAAAAAACATCTGGAAATATGACGAGGTAGGTATTCTGAGTTTTCACACAATGATGTGAGATACAGATGAGGAGTAAGGAGAAGTTCACACAGCAAAGAATTAAAAGAATGGCCCATCTCAAAACACCCACTAAAATTCTTGGTGGGGATATCAATTAGAGCATTATTGTTTTTGTTTTCATATTGCCTTATTATATTACAAAATGTTGATCAACAAAAGACTGCATAAATTATGATATAGTCATGCAACAGAATCGTATCTGATGTAAATTTAGTTTATCCTAATTCAACTATGTGCTTTAAAGTTAAAAAAAAAATGTTTATTTATTTTTGCGACAGATAGCGAGCACAAGCAGGATAGGAGCAGAGAGAGACAGACAGAATCTGAAGCAGGCTCCAGGCTCTGAATTGTCAGCACGGAGCCTGACATTGGGCTCAACTCAAGTACTGTGAGATCATGACCTGAGCCCAGTCAAAGGTTTAACCGACTGAGCGATACAGACGCTCCTCAACTAAGTACTTTCAGTCCCGCGATTTTCTCCACTATGTTGGTCCATCGCATTTCATATGTGGTGAGACTAGCTCACAGTTTAAGAATCCCAGTGATACTTATTCCATTATTGACTCCTCTGCCTCATACTGCATATAAAAATCTTTGATGGGAACTGACATACCTTGACCATAAAATCAATCAGGAAATCATTCTCCCATTCTAATGTGGGAACATTTCTCATTCTCTACTTTCATGTTTTAAGACCAGCTCAAAAGATACCTCCTCCACGAAGCTTTTCTCTTCTTCCTCAGTGGCTCATTTTTTAGTACTTACCGTAGCACTAGACTAGACTTCCTCTCTCCATAAGCATGCCTATTGGACTTATCAGGTTTTTCTTTACCTGCTTACCTCCCAAACAAAACCATAAGCTTTTCTAGGGCAACAACTAGACCTTACCCATCCATCTTTGTGTCCCCAGCACCTAGTACAGTGCCTGGTGACTACTAGGCATTCAATACATGATTGTAGAATGAATGGAGAAAGAGCGATTTACAAGTTAAGAAAAACAAAAGTCACAATTTTAAATATACCTAGGTTTCTACCCAAGGCCCTAGAAAACGCCCTAGAATGTGTTAGGCTGAAGCAAGAAATGTGGCCAGACACTGGAGAAATCTCCATTTGAGGACTTTTCTCAAAGTATTTGCCGAGAGGTGTCAGTAGGTGGTTTTCGGTGCAATCCTGTCCAGAGGCAGGATTAACGGACAAGACATTTTGTGATTTTTCCAACCCTAACGCCCCAAAACTCCCTTAATGGGTGAGGTATCACTTTGGGGAGCCCAGGTACCGTAGATGAGGCTCTCACCTTCCCATTCGTGGGAGGCTCCTGGATGTAGATGTTGCTCATGCTGCTCAGTGCTCAGGGCTCCGCTCCTAATTGGGAGTGAGAACGGAGAGCCGATCACTAAAGCAGTCCACCTATCAGTGGCACGCTTACTTCAATCGGGTGGTCGCAGAAAGCTCCAGTTTGTCAATGTCCCAAAATGAGCGGCACCAAGCACTACCTTTTCCCAAAACTAGTCCCTCACGGACGCCGCCATGTTGCTCCTGGGCCTGAGCACCGCTAATCCTGAGAAGGGGGGTTCCAATGGCCTCCAGGAAACGAAAAAATATTATTAAGCACCTGCAGGTTAACTAAATTTGTGTTACACTTTTACAAAAGGATATATAAATGTTGGTGTTGTTTACTTCAGTACATGTATGTGCAGGTTTCATTCATCTCCACCCCCGGGGCTGGCAGCAATGGTTCGGACCATGTGTGTTCTGTAATATGACTCCCCCGGAAACTGCATCATCGTTACTTGGTTCCGCTATCGCCAGAGGCCTTCCCCGACTGGCAGGGAAGTCCGGCGGCGCCGGTCGGAGGAAGAGGCCGCCCTCGCCGTTTGTGGTCCTCGCGGCAGGCGGGAGGCGAGCGTACTCTCGAAAGCCTACGGCTCCTGCGACCCCTCTTACCAGCGCAATGGCAGTCCCAGGTGAAGACGGACGGCAGGGCCCCTGGGTCTAGGCGAGGAAAGGAACGGGTAGGGTAGGTTGGGGTGCGCTGGGGGTAGGGAGTAGCGCCCATGGGGATTTAGGCGGAGGCGTTAAAATTAACAGGTTCGTTTGTTCCACACGAAAAAGTTTACACTCCAGAGATAATCTCTGAAGGGAAGAAGAACGACAGAAACTATCTCCCCCGCCCCAGCCAGGCTCCGGCTGTGCTGGAACGCTTACAGGGAAAGTGTGTGGTGGGGGGAGGTGGGGGAGGAGGGGCAGCAACTGTAGGCCTAGGAGGTAGCCGAGAAAAACTGACCTAACTTTGGGATGGCTCGAAAATAGAATTGAGGTGCAAGCACTTGACGGACCCCAGGAGCCAAGAGGCACTGTTTGTAAGTGGAAGTCCCGGGGACCAAATTGGCGTCCAGGGTTCTCCTCTCCCTTCCTATTGTATGGAGTTCCTGTGTGGCCGTGGACCAGTCGCTCTCCCACTCTGGGCCTCATTTCGTGCATTTGGAAAAGAAGATTTATTCCTCGATGTCTGTGGGTTCTTCCAGCGCGCAGATTCTGTGTCCACTGACTACCGACGTAAAAACAGTGCACCCTGCGAAAGAAGTGCTTTAGAGGTTTCCCCGTCCACAACTACCCGCTTGCTTGGAAGTCCTGGTCGGGGAGGGCACCTCCTTACATCAGCTCTGCGACGGTGTGTTCGGAAGAACACTGGTTGTAGGAGATATTTTGAGAATTACACCCCCACCCCACCCGCTCAAGCACACACAACTTGGAGGTTCACAGTGCACTTCAGGGTATGAAAGGCTCTGAGAAGGGCTGTGGTTCAGAACCCCCTAACTTTGTTTTCACCTGCCCTTCCCAGTATTATCTGACGGCGTTTGTTCGGTGGCAGCCTTCCCTGAAGTGTATTTTACAGATAACTGTTATAGGAATATTGCACTTTTGTTAGCGCTGCAGTTTGGTGAGGAGAGGGGTTGTGTGAGAGAGGAAAGATACACTCATTCATCCACACCACCGTGACTATTAAGGGCGTGCTAGGCAGTGTGCTAGGCATTGGGAATACAGTGGGGAACAGGACAGTGGCTCCTCACACAGAACTTAGAATTTAGCAGTGAAGAGAAAGTACCAGAAAGTCGGACAAATGCATGGCAGGGAAAATACACAGCCTTCAGGAGCACGTTGTAAGGGCACCTACGGAGACAGAAGGGCTTTACAGAGGATGTGGCATTTAGGATGAGCCTTAAAGGATTCCAGGAGGGTTGGATTGATGGGAGGGGAAGTTGCAGCCAGAGGGATATGTAAGTGAAAAGGAGATAATAGATGCTCCCAATAGATGGAACTCCTAATACAAATGGGAGAGAAGTGAGAAATTAACTGGAGAGTTAATGACAGTAGCTAATATTTACTGATGTATCAGATGTGTCAATAGCATTTACTATGTATCAAATGTGTCACACTGTGTCAAGTTTATCTCATTTAACATTCATGTCCACAGTGTGAGATAAGTATTAATATTTCCATTTTATAGATGAGGATACTGAGGGACAAAGAAATTAAGTGTTTGCTTGTTCAGGGATGTCTTGTAGGTAAGCAGTCTGACTCTTCTAGTCCCCATGCACTTACTCATCTTGCCATGTAGGATAATTTACAAGGTGGTTTCCAGCTCTTAAAGGACCTTGGAAGCCATGACAGATAGTTTGGATATTTTCCCAAGGATTATGGGAAGCCATTTCAGCATTTTTAAACCGATTCATATTTCGGAAAGAACATTTTGGCTGCACAGTGGATTGGAAGGATGATAGTTTGGAGTTAAAGTCACCAATTAAATTCTGGTAAGTTATGATGATACTTCACGTGTGGTGTCAGGAAGGGAGAGAAGCCCATAGATTGGAGACACATTTTTGCTGGTAGAATCACGGGGAATCAGTGACTGATTCAGGGTAGGTAGGTAAGACAGGAAGTGAGGTCTACTTGGGTTTTACTGTTAGGTAGTTGGGTGAGACTCTTTACTAATATAGGCAACACCTGAGAAGGAGCAGGTTTTAGAGGGATGATGATAATTTCAATTTGGGCTCTGTGTTGAGGTGTAGTCAGACATACAAATTGAAACATCTAATAGGCAGTGAGAGATAGAATTTGTAGCTTAGGAAAGAAGCCAGAATGTCATCCACACATGAAGCAGGCATTAAGACCATTGTCAGTGACTATGTTAGCAGTGTAGAATGTGAAGGGAAGCTCTGTGGCTGAAGCCTGGAGAATATCATCATGGAAGGAACTAGCAGAGAAAGGCCATTCTACCGAGTAGCTTGTCTGGGCATCCTGATAATTTAAGTCAGCGCTGGTGATCTTTGAACCGCACGGCTGCATCTAGAGTTGACCTCTCGCTGCTGGTTTTATTACTTGAGCAAGCGTTTTGAGCGCCCAGATGGTATAGACACTTAAGGGGACACAGTATCACAGCTTGTGATACTCATAAAACTAGTTATGAAAATGGGCAACTTAAGAAAGGAAAAAAGTGATTTTTTAAAAGTCCCTATTGAAATTGCTCTAAACCTAACCCAGTGTTATAGACAGGTTAACTCGCTTCCAATTCATAGTGATGCTCCAAAGTGTAATAATCTTAAATTGTGTCATTAAGCTGGATAGCAAGACATGGATAAACTGTTTAAACCTAGCAAAAATTGAGATAATAGGCATGACAGCACTGTAAGAGCACAATGCGAGTACCATTAGAAAATACAGATACAGAAAATGTTAAGATAATTTCTTGGATGATCGATCCAGATAGTGTATTAAAGAAAAATAGGGCTCAAGGACAGGTATTATGTTATGCTCTTTTATTTTTAGGTATAATGCTCATATGGATTCAGCATGGCATTTCTTGGGTGGTCTTGCTAGTGATTACTACAAAATATGACTATAAAGTGATGAGGCTACTTTCCACAAATGAGTATCAGCCTCTTCTATTTTATGGTCGCCTACTTCAGCTGTTTTTCCACAGCATTAAGCGTAAGCATACACCATTATGTAGGCAACACAATGAAATGTGCACTTTCTTAGGGAAATCATAGACTCTTAGTTGTCATTTTAAAAGTGACATTTAAATACAGGTTCCAGTGAAGTTTACTTTCTTTTAACAATTGCTTTTCCCATTCACAGTTGTTGAAATTAGTTCTGACATCCATTTTAATGATGCTCCATTCCCCAATGAGAGTTGACCTGGCTCAAGGGGCAATGTATGTTGTTGATGTGGTTGGCACAAAAACTCTTTTTCTCTCATTCAGTAAAATCTATATAGCCAAGGTAGGGAATTTTCTGTAGCCAAATTAACAATACATCTGGCATATCAAAGTGAGTCCAATTTTTAAAACACATTACTATAACATCTTAGTAAGAGAAGAGTTCTGAATTACAATGCATCCAGTTTCTTTTCACTTCTAAAACTACACTACACATAGTTTCTTTTCTCTCTAGTCTGTGCTGCCCATTGCTGCTGAGATAATTTTCCGAAACCATAAATCTGATCCTGTCTTTCCTAGGGGCCAAGAATTTAGTTCTTGTCCCCAGCTGTGAATGTTGTGTTTCTCTTCAAGCAACCTAACCTTTGCAAGGCTCATTGTCCTTGGGTATGTAGTGAAGGGGTTGATGACCGAGCTTTCTCTCGCTTCTAAACTGTTGTGATGCCAGAGGTGCCCATCTCTGCTGTAGTGAAGTGCACACTCCTCAGCATGGCCAAATCACTCTTGCTCCTCTTTCCTCCTACCCTTCCTCTGAAGCATTCTACGGTCTTCTGACTTGGTCAGCTATTCCCAGAACCTCTCGTGTACTGTGCTGCCTACATGCTTTTGTTATCACTGTCCCTCCTTTGCTGTCCATAGGTACCTGTGGGAAGCCTTCTCAGTCTTTCAGCTGAAAGTCTTGCCTGCCAGTTCTTCCTGCTTACCAGTAGAGTTTTGTGTTTTTTACAGTGGCATATTCTAGCATGTATTATAGCTGTGGATGTATTGTCCTAGATAAGCTAGTATATTGTATTTCCTTTAGTGTAGGGACTTAATTCATCTTTATGGCTTCTCTAACATTCGTTTCAGAGATAAGCCCATAATAAATAATAATAATTGGATAATAATTTAGAGGGTTGTTCACTAGAATTGTTGCTGAGCAGAATCTGGTACTAAAGTTAACAGACTAAACAGTAATTGTGATTCTGCTTCATTAGTTAATTCAAATGTTCATGTCTCTTAAACTGATAATACCTATACCTTTTTTTCCTTCATGGGTTATTTATATTTTGAGGCAAGTGGATGAAAGCATTTTATACACTGACTTAAATGGTAGCTCTTTCATGTCAGTAGTTTATTTTTATTTTAGAGAGAGAGAGTTTGGCAGAGGGAGAGAGAAAAAGAATCTTAAGTAGGCTCCTTGCTGGGCATGGATTCTGACACAGGGCTTGATCCCATAACCCTGGAATCATGACCTGAGCTGAAACCGAGAGTCAGAGGCTCAACCAGCTGAACCACCAGGCAGTCCCCTGTCAGTAGTTTAAAATAAGCAATTATTTGATTTACTTTCATCTCTCCTTTTGAGTATCAAATGATTCTGAAGGCATTTTTAACAAAAGATGAGGACATCTGCTCTTTCAAAATGTTTACATCAAGGATCCTCTTTTTTTTTTTTTTTTTTTTTTTTTTTTTTTTAATTATTTTGAGAGAGAGAGAGAGTGCACACGAGTGGGTCAGAGAGAAGAGAGAGAGAATCCCAGGCAGGCTTCATGTTGTTAGTGCAGAGCCCAACGGGAGCCATGAATCATGATTTGAGCTGAAGTCAAGGGTCAGACACTTAACTCACTGAGCCACTAAGGCTTAGGAGATCCATCAAGGATCTCCTTTAACCCATTTTTTAAATTCACAGAGAATTAAAATAAAATATTTCAGGATCCCAAAGAAAGGATTATATCTATGAATTCTTAATATAAAGCATCAGAAAA